GTGGGATAGGCTGTGAGAGAATATATTATAAAGTGTAGTGACTGTGTGTTTTGTGGGAGAAACAGAGAAAGACTGCCAGACAGACAGACTGAAAGAGAGAGACTGTGTGTGAGAGAGAGAGAGAATGGGAGAGTGAGATTGAGAGAGAGAGATTGAGAGAGAGATAGAGACTGGGAGAGAAAATATATTAAAGGATTTCGCCCATTGAGTCCTCCCACAGGAGTCCTCCCAGCTGAGTATAGATAAAGACGAAATGTCAGTCTGTGTGTCTGTCTGTGTGTCAATCTACATTCCATATTGGATCCTTTGGTTGTAAGCGAAGCTGCAACAGGTACAGCTAGGATAATATATTTGGGTACCAATATTTTTCTGGAAGGGAAAGGTACCGTGATTTAACTTACCATTGGGATTTTGAATGGACCTATGGACCTTGCTACAGCTATAGACTCTGATGATCCGTCACCACCAACAAGAGCAGGGACACGGGGAGGCCCTTCACACTGAGGATCGCTTTCTTCTTCCACTTGGCCATTGACGAGACCCAGGGCGACTTTGGTGGCAATGCTAGCGGAAGCGCAGTCATCAAAAATGTTATATCCCAGCGTAACATCTGGGAGTAACGTCTGATTCCGGTTTATTTCCTCGATTGCAAATATCATGGCATTTACCAGGCGAAACTCTCTGAAATCAAAACTGAGCAACAAACTCAGATCATTTAGGTTAATAAAAATATTATTATTACACTCTTACATTGTACTGCCACGCTTCATAGCACCCACTCCAGATGTTTGTCACTTATTAACATCTGACCTCGAATGAAGGTGAATGAAAGAAACTTTTCCAAAAGGAACGTAGCAAAATATGTTCAAAATATTAAGCATGGAAATGTTTGTGTCTTTCCCCTTTCTTTAAAAAGGGCAAACAATCAAGATTTGCGTATCTCAGAACCATAGAAATGTAGGGCACAAAAGAAGGCCATTCAGCCAATGGGCAGAATAAGTCTGTGCATGCTGGTTCAAGAGCAATCCTTTCACAGAATCATATAATTTTACAGCACAGAAGGAGGCTATTCAGCTGTGCCGGCTCTTTGAAAGAGCTACCAACTGGTCCCACTCCCCCAATTCTTACCCCATAACCCTGCAATTTTTTTCTTTCTGAGTATTTATCTCATTCCTCATTGAAAGCTATTATCGAATCTGCTTCAACCACCCTTTCAGGCAATACATTCCATACCATAACAGCTCCCTGGGTAAAAACATTTCTCCTCATCTCCCCTCTGTTTTTTTTGCCAACCATCTTAAATCTGTGACCTCCAGTTATTGATCCACCCGCCAGAGGAAACTATTTCTCCCTCTCTACTCCATCAAAACCCCTCAGAATTTTGAACACCTTTATTAAAGCTTTCATTCCCCTTTCCCTACATCTCTGGAGCTGACTTTTTTATGGTGTTCATTATGGTGTTTGTCTAGTTCCTTCTTGAAGGCCAATATTCTTGTTAACAATATTTTCAATCTTCTGTTAAAACAAATGTGAATTAACTATTCTTGGCAAGAAAGTGTGAAATATTTAAACATATCGGAATACCTGGAGGTTCCAAATGTTTCCTATGCATTTTAAATCCAAATTTATTAAATAAATATTAAGTATAGAACATCCAGCCATATAGCAGTGGAAGTTATTAATCGCATCCCCATCAGGAGAGTCAGATGTTAAGGATCATTTGTCACATATTCAGCTCACCTTTTGCATTTTGTTACTTCTGGCGCATTCCGAAACAAATTGATTTGCTCAAAGCGATCAGCGTGTACATTAAAGATTCCTCCCAGAATGATATCTCCAGCTCTAGATATTCCAGGCAAATTGAAATTCCCTCGAAGTTTGCAGCTCTCTTCATTTGATTTCCGCAAAGAACCAGCAAGTAGTACCCCAAATAATAAATAATACATCACAGCGATTTTCAGTTACAGCTATCTATTCTTTCTCAACATGAATACATGCAGTTAATTATATATGTGTATATATAATGGATCCTACCACCAACGTTGTTTCGGATAATTCCCCTAGAAATACGTGTTATGCTCAAGATTTCATACAGTGAAAATCCCAGTGGAAAACAATCCACAATACACTGACTCCGGAAACTAAAATAATTCCCTCAGAGCATATTGAAATATTTATGTCAGAAGCAGCAGCAAGCAAATTTTCCAATTTGACTTGAATGTATCTGTTTTTAACATGAGCATTCCTTAATATAAGCCCTATATTTAACAATAAAATTGATTATTTGTAATGTCATAAAAAACACAAATCTGTGTTTCAATCCTGTCTATTCTCGTTTTTAAATCGACAAACTATTCTTGGTCAGACTCATCCAGAAATTCATCACCATGCTTAAGAGTCTCCAAGAGTCTGTTAATCACCTTTCCAAAGACTGAGAGTTCCATAAACGTATGCCACATGTACATAGACATTTTCCGATCTCTGGAATAGAACGCACACTCTCTCTCCCAGGGTAAAGACACTCGAGTTAAATAATTCTGGAGAGTAGACCCAGGTTGGCAAGAGCCAAAACGTGGGGACCCCAGGGTATGCTTTGACCTGTCAAAATGCTAGATGTATTCTCGATTTTCAACCTTAAGATTTTCAACCTTAAGACCTTAATGATCTCATTTAGGAAGCAGTAGAAATGCTACAATTAGCTTCAGTAATCTTAAACTGGGGAACAGGTAAAATGAGCTGGGTTTCCTGTTTCCAGTTATTAAAGGGCAGTACCATTATAATGTGAGTGACTGGGTTCAATATCTCGTTTGCTCAGTGTCGGACTCCGTCACTGTAAAGCGCTCTGAGACGTTATGCTACATAAGTTGTTGCCATTGAACGCTGTTCGGGGTGAAGGGTGCTGTATAAATTCAAGTTGTTGCGTTGTTATATCGTAAGCGAGAAAACTGTCTAATTTTGGCTCGTTGGGTCACAGCTGACGATGCCACTTCCTGTGTGTTGTGTACTGTGTGCAGGTAGCACAGCGACATCACTTCCTGCGCACTGTGCACAGGAAATGCCGCTGACTTCACTTCCTTCACAAAGTAATATCAGCAGCACTTCCTGTGAAGGAAGTAACAATTCTAATTCTTTGGAATAAAGTCGGAATCTGCAAACTTGTTACAGTTTGATTTTTAAATCTTCCCCTGAGTATTTAAAGAGCTTAAAATTAATCTGTACCAACTTGATCTGTGAACACTTAGGTTAAAAAAAACAATAATAAATTGGTCATTTTCAATCCATGACTGTTTGTGGCACATTCCTGTGCGCAATTGGCTGCCGCGTTCGCCCACAAATATACAGTCAGTTCACTTTACAGTATATTCTGTGAAGCGCTTTGGGACGTCTAGAAGATGTGAAAAGCGCTATATCAAATGCAAGGATTATTATTATTATTATTATTATTATTACATAGCTGTAGTTCCATCCTGGCTCGACAGGGAGCACTCTAACCACTGAGTCAGGATATTATGGGTTTGAGTCCCACGTCCAGTGCTTTGGGATGTCCTTCTGACATGAAAGGTGCTATATAAATGTAATTTGTTGTTGTTATTGTTGTCTAGACTTCAAACTCAGGTAGTTTAGCCTAACTCTCCAATTCTGTGCTGGTGGGTACAGAGCCTTATACGAACATAAGAATTTGTTGATGAAAGAAGACCAAGGTCCATCTCGTTCACCTTCCATCACCCTGGCAGTCACTTGACATGTCGTGTCCCAAATAATACACTGTATCCCGAGATATTATTTTCCAGCAGAAATCTATCTAATTTGTTCTTGAAACAAATTACATTTTCTGCTTCCACCGTCTGTCTCCCTAGGAAGCCTGTTCCATAAGTTTACTACTGTCTCACTGAAGTAATGTCTAAGCAGATTTGTTCTGAATTTACTCCCCTTCGATCGCAGGCCGTGTCCTCTGGTTCTACTGTTCAGTACAAGATAAAACAGCTTATCATTATCTATTCCTTTCAGGATCTTAAAGACTATAATCATATCTCCCCTCAACCTTCTCCTTTCTAGTGTGAACATGGCCAGTTTATCTAATCGTTCCTCGCAGTTCAATCCCTCCATCCCCGCAATCATTTTGGTTGCCCTCCTCTGTAACCTCTCAATCGCTGCAATATCCTTTTTATATTGCGGTGACCAGGACTGCACATGGTATTCCATTGCGTATGACTATCTCAATAATGACTATGTCCAATTCCCTACATTTTTCCGAATGATTCCCAATGATTCCCATCAGGTGGATGCTAATCACCATGTGCTTCACCAACAGAGATTGCACCTTCTGGCTTTCTGCCCCATCCCTCTGGAATTCCAGCCTGGAGCCCCTTCACCTCGCCACCTCGATTGCCTTCTTCAAGTGCATCTCAAGACCTTCCTCTTCGATCATGCCTTGGGTCATCCTCCCACCTCCACCTATTGACTCTAATAATTGTGGTCCAAGCTTTGATATAATATAATAATAATAATCCTTGCATTTGATACAGCGCCTTATCACGTCTTCGAGACGTCTCAAACAGCTTCACAGAATATACTGTAAAGTGAATCGACTGTATATTTGTGGGCGAAATGTGGTAGCACAGCAGTGCCCTATAAACAGTCGTGGATTGAAGTGACCAATTTTTATTTTTTTGTTTGAAGGAATTATTACCACAGGAAAAGTGATCCATCAATCGACTAATAACCAGGTTCCTACTTACTGCTTGGTAAACAGAGGCATGTGGAGCAAGGAAACTTGCCCAACATTTCGCCCTGCCCGGGAATCGAACCTGGGTATCATGCTTGTGAGGCGAGTGATCTAACCACTGAACTACAAGACTCCATAATAAGAGAACATTCCTAGATTTTTAGATTAAATCTTTCATTATTTTATTGATGTACATCATATAGTAATCTATACAAATATTGAGTCTGTCACAATTCATTGCAACTACATATAGAAAGAATTTTCTGAATGTATTTTATTTCTTCATTAAATATTTCTTTGTATTCTTTTCAGGTTTAAAAATTATAATGTAACATTTGGGAACAAAAATACAGACTAAGAGACCAAAGCTAGATGCTAAAATAGCAAATACTTCTACAGCCACTGTGTATTTCCCAGGAGAGCTGACATAAGCTGGGATGAAAGTTATCCAAACTGCACAAAAGATGAGCATGCTAAAGGTTATAAATGTAGCTTCATTGAAATTATTCGGTAGTTTTCTAGCTAAAAATGCAAGTACAAAACACACGCATGACAAAGCACCAATATAACCAAACACACAGCAAAAGTACGCCATGGAGCCCACATTACATTCTAGAATGATTATAGACTTGTAGTATGAAGTGTTTTTCACAGGGAAAGGAGGGGAGGTGGTAAGCCAGAGGATACATAGTAAAGTCTGGATAAATGTAAGGATGAAAACGTTTATTCTTTGACGTATGGGACTAAACCACTTGATCTTCTTCTTGCTATTGGGCATTGTTGTCTTGAATGCCATCAGCACAACAATTGTCTTTCCCAGGATACAAGAGAGACAGAGAACAAAACTAATACTGAATATTGTGTGTCGTAACATGCAGGACCACCGGGATGGTTTATCGATGAATGTAAGTGAGCACAGAAAGCACAGGATTAGTGCAAAAAGTAGGAGGAAGCTTAGATCAGAATTATTAGCTTTAACCAGGGGAGTGCTTCTGAATTTATAAAATATTCCAGCTGTGGCTAATGTTAACCCTGCTCCAACCACTGCCAGAATGACCAGTGACTTCCCCATTTGATCATCAAAGGAGAGAAACTCGATTTCCTTAGGCAAGCAGCGGTTGTTGAACTGATTGGACCAGTATTCCGAGGAGCATTTCAAGCAAGATAATGCATCTGAGTGAAAGTAATAACATAAATCACATATTTCTAGAGAAATGCCACTGCAGAAAAGAATCAAATCAGTCCTACATACTAAAACTAAGTGGGATTTCGGACCCCTGGAGAGTAATTTTTGAATACAGTACGTGAATAAGTGGGATCTCCTTGGAGCTGAACTGGCTCCAAGGTAACATTTGGCAATGGAATGTCAGAATCGAGCCCACACTCTGTGACGGTCCGGCCGCAGTATTCCAGGGTATTGGGGGCATGGAGTCATCCCATTCAGTTGTTCTTAATCCCGCAAGCCAAAGCCCTAACAGGTAGGATGGTCCCAGCTGTGCAAGCAGCGGGAAAATTGCCAGCCATCAATATCAATGGCAAGCTAAACCATTTATAGCTGGTTAGATTCCAGCAGTTACCCCAACATACATTGCTGGCTCCACAAGCCTTGCCAAGCTGCGCCTAATAGTTTCTGGAAATAGGTGAGCAGGGTGTGTCCTTCTGGGGAGAGAGCGCATCCCATTCCAACCATCTATCTCTGGGATTTCCATGTGTAGGTGGGATGCATGGAATTCTCAGCTTGGTTTGGATGCTCTTAAGCAACGGTGATGGGTTTCCGTGTGTGTCAAAATGTGAATACCTGTTATGTTTGTGATTTGGCCATCCGCACACTGCACACAGCTAAAACAACACACAGGCTCCTCCTTTTTCACTGTTTTCCATGTACCAGGAGGACAGCTGTCAGAACACACTCCGCGAGGGGCCTGAGTTTCAGAGAAGTGTAAAGAGAAGGAGAAAGTATTATGTACATTCGATCCAGCACCTGACAAGTCAAATTAAAACAAGATCAATGTGTTTCATATCCTAAACCTAAGCTATTTGAAATTAATGTTGTTATGCAGAAAAATTGGCACAATACACCAGCAAAACGTCACACAGGGCAATGAGATGAACTACCATTTGGGAGCAATTGGATAAAGGAGGTCAGAACACAGGAGAACTCCATGTTCTTCTGCTTTGTACCATTGAGTATTTAATATCCACCTGAACTAGTAGACAGGACATCAGTTTAGCATATCATCTGAAGTGAAGCACCAAGAGCAGACTGTTACCATGTTGCATAGGTGTGCACACGACAACTACTGTTTATAATAATAACTCTTGCATTTGATATAGCGCTTTTCACGTCGGGAGGACATCCCAAAACGCTTTACAGAACACACTGTAAAGTGAATTGACTGTATATTTGTGGGAGAACGCGGCAGCCAATTGCGCACAGCAATGTCCCACAAAAATGACCAATTTATTATTGTTTTGGGTTTTTTGGAGGGATTATTATTAGGCTCTGTGTGGAGTAAGGAAACTTGCCCAAAGTTTCGCACTGCCTGGAATTGAGCTCGGGACTCTCGCTTGCAAAGCGAGTGCTCTAATCACTGAGCTACAGAAATCCAGATAACCCAAATTGATCAGATTAAGGATTTATTGATTTGAAGCTGATTGGCCCATTTGGCTGCTGCAATTGGCTGCCGCGTTTCGTCCACAAATATAAAGTCAATTCACTTTACAGTATATTCTGTGAGGAGCTCTGAGATGTCTTGATGAAGTAATAAGGCACTATATCAAATGCAAGGATTATTATTATTAGGAACGACTCAAAAAAAAATTAGTTTTTACTTTTTGTTGCTAGCTTTGAACAAAAAATTAAAATACTGTATAATAATAATACTTGCATTTGATGTAACGCATTATTACATCTTCGAGATGTCTCAAAGTATTTCACAGAATAATAATAATTATCCTTACATTTGATACAGCGCCTTATCACATCTTCGAGACGTCTCAAAGCGCTTCACAGGATACACTGTAAAGTGTAGCAACTGTGTGTTTTGTGGGCGAATCATGGCAGCCAATTGCGCACAGCAGTGTCCTACACACAGTCGTGGATTGAGTGACTACATTGTTATTATTATCAATTTTTGAGGGGATTATCGCCCCTGTAAAGCAATCGTCAATCAACTAACAAACAGGTAAAATAGGTAATGTAGTTTCCAAGTGAACTTACCTCCTTTCCCCCACCTATCCAGACAATATCGTCTTTGTTGATAAACAGCCTTTTATCGGGATGTACAAGTCCATCATAATGCCCCACTGTCACAACATGCGCTATACCTTCTGAGTTCATTTGCCAGTTTACCAATTCGTATAGTGGGACTGTATCCAAATTTTGGTCGAAGTAGATACTTTCTCCATTCTTAGCAGTGAAATTTATTGCATACATGTGATGTAACAACTGGGAAAGGGAGAGAGAGAAAGAATCATTCGCTTGGACTTTTTTGCCCTTTGAGTCCATACTAACCGTTATCATTTGGAACATATGGATGTAAAATATTGAACTTATCTCAGAATAAATCACTTAACCAATAAATTGTGTAAAAACTTGTTAAAACAACATATTGCCTATTATTGCTAAAACAATTTGCAGTATATTCTGTGATGCGCTTTGAGATGTCTCGAAGACATGCTAAGGCGCGATATCAAATGCAAGGATTATTATTATTAACTATTTTTGAGACAATTGCATTCTTTAAGAGTTACCAACCTTGTTTTTTCCAATAAATGATCCACATCCAAAAAATATAATTTCTAAAAGTGCACTCATTTTAATTTACTATTAAAACTCTACATTCTCCCTACCTCCCATAGGTCAAGAGTAGTGAAGGAATCGTTTTGTTTGGAAAGCATATTGTGGAGTGAATGAGCTACAGCGTACACCGCTTTGTACACATTGTAGGCTATCCTCAGTTGTGAGGTATCAGTGTATTGATTATCTACATCTTCCAAACGCTCTTGACCAGTACATTGTTTGAGTTGTGATTTGGGGTCGAATGGGTTTAGATTTTCAGGCTCTGTCATGGTGCAATCGAATGTTTTTTCCCAACATTCATTAACAAATTCATTCCCAGGATACTTCGATGGGTGAATTTGCAGAAGAAATTCCTTCAATCCTGGTAACGTTGCTCTGGGCACAGCAAATCCCAATGTCCCCACAAGAAATCTTGCATGCTCTTTCGGAGAGAGATTGGGCATTGTAATCCAAGATTCACTGCCGATCCATTGAATACCGGTTACGTTATTACGAACAATTTCTTTTAGTAAAACCGCGATATCCGCCTGAGCAACAAAAGCAACAATAATCTTTGTGGTTGCCTGTTCTATCACATTGATAATTTCCATCAGTCTCTCTCTGGAGTCCGTTTTGTGAATCACCTCTGAGAAGGCAACACAGATATCGAGTTTCTGGACTCCTTCTATAATCTCATCCATGGCCAGAGCGCCATAGGTGGAATTACTCCTGATTGTACCAATCCAGTTCCAGCCAAAGTATTTGATAATCCGAGCCAAAGCCTCCACCTGATGGTAATCATTGGGAATCGTTCGGAAAAATGTAGGGAATTCGTACATATTATTGAGGTAGTCATACGCAGCGGAATAACTGACCTGTCGGGATTTGGAAACAAACAGTGATATACAACAAAAACAACAACAAGTTTACATTTGTATAGCGCCTTTCACGTCGGGAGGATGTCCCAAGGTGCTGGACAGTGTACAGCATTTCGGACCCGAGCTGGGGTTGGGGGATCCATTCACATTTTCAAGACTGAGGTGGATAGATAGTAAGGGATAATAACCCTAAAATAATAATCCTTGCACTTTTGATGTAGCACTTTTTCACGTCTTCAAGATGTCTCAAAACGCTTCACAGGATGCACTGTAAAATGAATTGACTGCATATTTTGTGGGCAAAACGCGGCAGCCAATTGCGCACAGCAGTCATGGATTGAAGTGACCAATTTTTATTATCGCTTTTTTCTCTTGAGGGCTTATTAAAAGGCATGTGGATAGTTAGAAATTGGATTATAAATACAACATTAAAAAAAAAATTTGGTCACTCAATCCACGACTCCTCGTCGTTACATTAAGGGTAGGAGAAAAACAAGCAAAGGAATAGGGCCAATGAAGGCAGGTTCAGGAAACAACATGCCAAATAATCCTGCACAGGTTGCAATAGTACTAAATAAGTTCTTTGCATCAGTCCTTACCAAGGAGTAGACGGGCAACCTATCTGATCTGGAAAGAGAACTCAAGGATATCGCAGAAAAAAGTTGTAACGTTATTCATATCACTACCAGCATGGTTGCCAAACGGTTGTGTAAACTTAAGGTAAATAAATCTCAGGGGCCGGATAAATTGCATCCTTAAGGAACTAAGGGAGGAAGTCGCAGAAATGCTAGCAGAAATCTTTCAAAAATCACTGAACACTGGAGAGGTGCTGGGGGAATGGAGACATATGTGCATGCGACTGCCTGGGTGGTAGAAGTCGAACTAGATGGACCTTGGTGTTTTTTTGTCTACCAAAGCGGCCATTATGTGAAGATGCGACCTATTGCAACTATTTCATTAGTTCAAAAGTGAACCTTTCACATAACCCCCCCAAAAAATGTACCAATAAGAATTAATGTGTGTTCTTGTGATTAGGGTTTTGTTTGATTCCTGCCGTCACATTACTGCAAATGGCTATTGGAACCAAGTCCATCCAATTTCAGGTGGACATGCTTGGCAATAGAAGGTTGGAGTTGAGTCCACTCTCTGTGGCCGTCCTTGGTGGTCCGAGCTAGGTATGTCCACCATACTCCAGGGCATTACTGATGACAGACCAGCTAATCTGGCTCACTGGTAGGACTAGGAGGAGGACTGTTTGTAGGACGCTGCTGTGCACAATTGGCTGCCGCATCTCACCAATAAAATATACAATCAATTCACTTTACAGTATATTCTGTGAAGCGCTTTGAGACCTCTCGAAGACATGACATGGCGCTATATCAAATGCAAGGATTATTATTATTACGAACTGAATATATGTTTAGGAAATACGTAAATGCATATTATAAAATGAAATCTATCAGAGTTCAATTAATACACATTTAATGTTTTTGAGTGTGTACTCAAGTCTTCTTCATTTATTACTGTTACTATAATCAAGTTCGGTTTCTAACATTATTTGAATGGAGCGGCAGACACGGTGATAGCATAATGATGCAGGAAGTTGGCTTACCATTGAAATATTGAAGGGAGTAATTACCCTCGCTACTGCTACAGACTGCATTGACTCAGCATCTGCGATCAGAGCAGGGACATCAGAGATTGTATTACACTTTGTTTCAGCTAGCGTCTCTTCCTGCCCAGTGATAAGCATGGTGGTCACCTTGGTAGTCATAGCTGGATCACCACAGCTATCGTGGATCTTGTAGCCCAGTTTAATATTCGGAAGTAAAGTTTGGTTACTATTTATTTCCTCGATGGTGTAGATCATGGTCTGAGCAAACTGGAATTGTGTCAGATCAAAACTGGGGGATGAAACGACAGATTTACAACAACAACAACAACTTGGATTTATATAGTGCCCCCCACGCTGGACAGCGTCTCAGAGCGCTTTACAGTAACGGATCCCATGGCCGAGCCAGGGGGAGGGGGAGGAGCCAGGGGAAGGGGAGGAGCCAGGGGGAGGGGGAGGAGCCAGGGGGAGGGGGAGGAGCCAGGGGGAGGCGGGGAGCCAGGGGGAGAGGGGGAGCCAGGGGGAGGGGGGAGCCAGGGGGAGGGGGGGAGCCAGGGGGAGGGGGGGAGCCAGGTGGAGGGGGGGAGCCAGGTGGAGGGGGGGAGCCAGGGGGAGGGGGGGAGCCAGGTGGAGGGGGGGAGCCAGGGGGAGGGGGGGAGCCAGGGGGAGGGGAGGAGCCAGGGGGAGGGGGAGGTCGGTGAAGGTGACCAAAGGCGCAGTCGAAAAGAAAGGTCTTCAGCAGAGACCTGAAAATGGGAAGAGAGGGAGTGAGACAAAGGGAGTGAGGAAGGGAGTTCCGGAGCCTCGGGGCAAGATCCACTAACGCACTTAATATTTCAAACTAACATTGCAAGATAGAAACGTTTTGAGGTGACTTCAGATACATATGTGGAGGCCTAAAATTGCACATAATCATATATTATAGTTCAAGTTGAATGAGCTCTAAGGAGATGTGAGTGACAAAGGAGTGTCGGAATTGAGCCAGCCCTCTATAGCGGTCCGGTTCCTGAGCGATGCAGTATTCCAGGGCCTGGCTCATTGCAGGTCTTGGAAGTGCAGACCAGTCACTGAGGATAGAGACTCTTCCCACTCAGCTCCTGTTAATCCTGCAAGACAAAGTCCTAATGGGTAGGATTGTCCTAGCTGGACAAGCAGCAGGAAAGCGTATGCCATCAGTTTGGTTATAATAGGTTCTCTGCATTACATGGCATGAGCAGAGTGGTTCCTGTTGGTACAATGATGAATTTTGAATGCTAGAATCATCAGAGTGAACCCCTGTCTATTTACATGGTGGAGATGATGACAAACTGCAGAGCCTATGAAAGTGAAAATGCTTTTTTTCCCCAAAAGCTCCAAAATAAAGCTAAGAATGAACAGTCTCCAAAAAACATGATTTCACCCATTGCACAGTTTCCTTTGGTTTTCATTCCCTGCTAATGAAGTTGATCTTATCTCATAAATTCACCCTGATATTTTTAAGTAAAGCTTTTGCGAAACATTTTTAAAGCTGTAACCTTATGAAGTAAAGTTGATTTAGAACCACAAGCTTGAAATGTAGCTTTACTCAAGCGTCTCCAGCTACAAGGATTGACTAACCTTTTACACACTGGTCGTGCTGGCTGAGACGTAAAATTCAGAACCTGCTCCTCTCGATAGTAGTGAATATTAAAGATTCCACCCAGGACAAAGTCACCATCCTTTGATATTCCAGGTAAATTAAACTGCCCTCGCCGTCTGCAAAGTGAATCATTATTCGCCATCGCAGGGATAAATATGAGTTGCACCATCAATAGAGCATAATACATTGTTGTACTATAAGGTAGCCGGTGGCAAATGTTGATCTACCATGAGTGATTGCGTTTTATATACCCCACATGGGTCCATGAAGTTGGCTAGGACTGCAGTGAATGGATTACAACACAGAACAATTGGAACAATTCCAAAGAAAACAATTTGGAAATAAATTCCGCCTCCAGAGAACGAACCTTACATAAGATAGACCACATTTATCCATATTTCTCTGTGAGTAAGAAACCTGACAATTTGTGGGTCATAACCACAACATACCCTGTATCCGAAGATTCAACATCCAGTATTTTTGGTCAATGTGACTGGATAGTATTATGTATGCATTGCAGCTGGAGAAATTTTTGTGAAAAAAATTATTCCATTTGCCTCTGGGTGTTAAGTGTTAACACCAAACATATTATAATATGTAACTGGAGATTACATACTCAATTAACAGCTATAACTACTCTCAGAAAGCATTGAAGGAGGGCAATAGAATTGTTTTGTTAAATTTTAGAGAACCAGATTATTGGTTCCTTCTTTTGGTAATCGGCCTTGCCCTCTCCTTTATACCATGTTCGACTTCCTTAATTATTCCAATTTATAAGATCCAGAGTCCCTTTATTTACCAAAGGAATCTCCAACCCTGCCATTGTATGAACCTCCAGCCCTTTCCCGACGTGAAAGGCTCTAAACAAATGTAGTTTTGTTGTTGTTGTTGCTCTAATAAAACGTCAAGTGTGTATGAGGGCAGTTTGTGTTGGTTAGATTTAATATACCATTTATACATTATTCATCTCTTGACTAATTCAGTGCATTAGATTATTAGATTTGTTTACAGCAGAGATTAAGGCCTTGTGTCAAATGTATTGGTATTGAATACTTCATGGAAGAAAATTGAAAGAACAAGGTCCTGTGGCTTACTTGATCTAATCCTTCCAGAATACCAACCATCACCACTTCTCATTACAGCTCCAAACTATGTTACAAAGTTCATATTGTTCGGGCCTTAACTACTCAGTCTGCTAATCCATTACAGTTCTTCAGTAATATATAGAGAAACCCTTTCTGATATTTATACTAAAATTTCACTTCACAATCTGCACCTTATTATGTACCTCCTTTTCATATTTACTTAATATAGTGTTCTGGATTTATTTCTCTATCCCATTATCATCTTACACAACGGAGGAGTTATTTAAAGAGTTCCAGGCTGTAGACTCACACGGGTATCTAGTTGTTCCTCATAAATCATCCCTCTTATATTGAGGTTCAGCCTTAATTGCCCTTCTCTGCATTTACACAGTACACCAAATGTGATACGAGCAAAGTTCTGTGTAGCTGGAGAAAGCCTCCTGACAACCTAAACTCCAACCTGCAGTAAATGTCACAACTTGAGGAATGCAATCTTACATGTAATTTTGTTCAGAAAAGGTATAAAAATGTAGGGTTAAAGTTAGTTAAAGGACCCAGACTCCACCGATTATTTTAGTTTTTATTTAAGTGTTTGCTGTAAATGTATAGTCATTACACTTGACAGCAAATTACCTGTGCAGCACCTTGTGAGGTTTTAAAATGATGGGGTATAAATTCCATGCAGCATTACACGTCACACCATTGGTGGTGCCAGGCACTGTGGGAGATCCTAGATTTATGACTGTAAAATAATCATAGCTATGTGTTTTATTGCTCTGTCATTTTTTCTACTGAGCTGAAATAGCCAAGCAATTTAATGTGATAGTGTCAACATGTGAGCAAGTCAACAGCGATCAGGGGAAGCACCGAAAGCCCAACCACATTGACGTGGCCTGAGAATGAGCTATATCAAATGCAGGGATTATTATTATTATTATGATTATTATGATTGTTGGAGCTGCTGTTCAGCTGAAACACTGAACTGAGATTCTGAGGTTCCATCTACTTGTTTAAAAGAGTATTAAGGATGAATAACATGCACGGAAAAGAGAAAGGAGTTTTTCCCTCATCCCACCATTCACCTAAACCTAAACTGAATGTTCATTTATCTCAATTCTGTGAGTGGGGAGGGGGGTGTTGTTGGTGTAAATTAGTTGCCACACTTGCCAACAGAAACAAAGCCACAATATATAAAATAAAATAAAAGTTATTTATGTCATTTTGTAGCATAAAAATGAAATAACTTGCAATATACAAACCCTTCATGCAAATTATCCTGAGAATACATTGGAAATTAAATCAGAAGAGTGTCTTAATTAAATCTTAGAGCTGGAGGAAAGAATAAATGATGTACTGTCAGAACAGCTGTGAGTTTCAATCTTTAACAACATTAATCAACAAGAATGAAAAAAAGGAAGAGGAAACTCAGTAAACAGTTCAATAATACATTAAGGGAACCTCCCTCAGGTGTGGTGGTGTAATTGATTTGAGAGACGCCAACCCTCTCTGCTCTTTCTAATCGAATGTGTCTGCTTGGCTGAGCATGTGATTGCAATCTGATGTGCTGTTTGTAATAACGAGGTTATGTCAGCAAAGTGTCCAGCCCATCATTGTCCTCACATCGAAAAACACGGGAGATAAATTTACAGCATTTCCCAGAGGTTCTGAATTTGACTTCACATTTTGAAAGTGATGGGAATGGGAGCAACAGCAAAGTGACATTGCTTTAGCTTAATTATTTGATGGGAAAATTCCAAAATGGGTATTGATAATAAAATAATAATAATAATCCTTGCATTTGATATCGCCTTATCACATCTTCGAGACGTCTCAAATGGCTACACAGAATATACTGTAAAGTGAATTGACTGTATATTTTGTGGGGGAAACGTGGCAGTCAATTTCTGTATTCTGAGATGAAATGAACTGAAGGGCCTTCCTCCTCTGAATTTCTTAGGATCCTGTCGTCTTAATTACTTAGCATTTCTCCACTAATGCTCCTTCATTTCACTGTGGAGTCCGATAGTTTTAGAGCACTCGCCTCCCAAATGAGAGGACCCAGGTTCGATTCCCGGGCAGAGTGAAACCTTAGGCAAGTTTCCTTACTCCACACACCTCTGTTCACCTAACAGTAAGTAGGAACCCGGTTGTTAGTTGATTGGTAGTTCATTTTCTAGGGGGTAATAAACCCACAAAAAAAATTTGGTCAATCAATGTAAATTTGTATTGTGTTAAACCACAGAAAATACTTTCTGGTATAATCTATCACAGTGTGAAGATGCTTAATTGACATTTTTTTCTAAATGCACCTGTAATATTTGCATTTATTTAGTTTTAAAATTATAGAAACATATTATAAACTAAAATGATTTTCAGTAAGGATAAAATGCTGATTCCTGTTTGAATTAGCTGATCATCACCATCAGCAACAGAGCAAATTGTACAGAAAGGCAAACATTTTTAAAAGCACTGTACAAAAAGCAATTGTTCAATAATAATAATCCTGCATTTGATACAGGGCCTTACCACGTCTTCTAGCGTCTCAATGCGCTGCA